TGTGTTAATGATTGAAGAGAAATTTTTGATTGATTGATTAATTGATTTCTTTTCAGTTTTTGATATTGATTAAAGGGGAAAAGGAGGTGAGAAGGGGAGAAAATTGTAATTTAAATGTTATAATGATGATAACATTCAACATTAGTGACAATTAATGGGTAAGATGAGAAATCGATTGATAAAAATTACATATTTCCTAAAGTTCCAAGGACTATTTTGTTTGTACGTGTTTTGAGTTTTATATTAGTTATTGTACTTTGAATTAGTTATTTTGGATCAATTTGCATTATGAGAATAAGATTAAAGTTTAAAAAACTAATGGTTAATGGCATTAATTGGATAGGGAGAGAGAGAGAGAGAGAGAGAGAGTGAAGTATCTACAAAGGTAAATGTGCAAATAAAATCAATACCTTCCACGGACTCACCGTTAACCTCGTACTGAGGATTGAAATCAGATGAGACTACACCCAAATCATGAGCTTCCGAAATAGTTAATAAACATTTACCATGACCATGACGTGCATCCCACATTTTTAATTCACCTGAGGTTGCACCAGAAATCAGGTAAGCTGAATCGGGTGAAAAGGCACAAGTAGTGACCATTGCTTCATGTCCGGTTAATGATCTTACCAAAGATCGAGTACTAATATCCCAAAGGCAGATCTTTTCATCATCACCAGCGGTCACCAAGATAGCTGAAGAAGGTGAGAAACAGCAAACTCTTATTGCACAATTGGTTGGATTAAGAAGCCGAACAACTTGATCACCAGTCTATGAGGATTAAAAAAGATTAAGCGATAATTTTTACATCTAAATAATATGAATTACATGTAGTATTAAATGATCAATGATTCTATTGTTACCTGTGAATTCCATAGGATGAGATAACCATCCGTTGAAACTGAGGCCAAAATTGTACCGAAAGGTGAAAATCGTACACAATTTACTCCATAATTGTGACCATTTAAAGGTGATTTTAATGGGGATTCTGTACACTCTTCGAAATATCCATCATCTTTACATTTCCAGAATCTAATGGATTTGTCATTAGATGATGAGACGACAATTTTATTCCCATTAAAGTCAACCCATGTAACATCCGATGTGTGACCTTCCAAGGTTTGAAATCTGTCAATCGAAGCCATATCTCAATCTCGATATGGTGTAGATTAATTAACAATCTATCCAATCAATTATTGACAGTAAATGTGAATCTGTAAACAACAGGAAACAAAAAAAAACAAAAGGTAAATAAAAAAATAAATCAACAAGATGATAATTAGAGAAGAAAAAATCATATTTTTTATATCCCATAATTTACCAAGTAAACATGATAGAGAAACAAAAATCAACTTACCCCGAATCAAATCACTTATTATGATCAAGATTACCTTTGATAATTGAAACAGAGCCGGACAAGGTAACAATCAAGCTGAATTAAATCAACAATAACATCAATTAAAACCATCTGATCAAAAATCAGAAAAATCATACAAATTGTTGATTCTCTGGACCAACAAATGAACGAAACATAAAATCACAATCGATTCAATTCAACCCCAACAAGTGAAAATTAAATTGCTAATAAAATATAATCGAAAGGTAAAGAGACGAAAACCAAACAATCAAAGTTCCAAAATAATAATAATATTAACCATAAAAAAAGAAGATTGAAATCATCAGATTTGTTTACATTCACAGAGAATAAAAAAATTGACTAACATGCGTCATGCAAGAATTAACAGATTATCATCCAAAACGAAAATCAAACCAACAGATAACCAGGAACAAAATTAAGACGAAGAATAAAAATAAAATCAATTGGTTTCTCTCAAAGTAATTGAGATTAAATTGTCAACAATTAGAAAGCAAAATTATGGAACAACAAAAAAACGAAAACAATTTTGATTCTCAAAAACGAAAATTGTTCCCAAAGAGTTGGTACAGTTTTCGACTCGGAGATGGAGCCACTGGCGGCGAAAATTCGGTTCTCCTCAAGGCTGAAAGGCTCCAATTTCTGTTTCCAAGCTGAAGAGAAAAGTGAATTTTAGTTGGTTAGCAACAAGAAAACAACCCTGAGTTTGGTAACCAAAACGTTGTCTTGGTTGTCTTCGGTAATCAGGCAACAAGGATGATCGACCCCCAAGACACATTCAAAAAAAATCCGGACGAAGAGGATAACAATTTAACTACAATCTATTATACTACTGATCCATATACTTCGATTACCTGTTTTGATAATAATTCAACGGTCATCTATTCACAAGTTACTGGTGCCAATACTGGAGGTGATACCGAGACAAATTCTGGTGGAATTGCTGTTGTTTCATCAGCTCCTATTGGTACAGTTACTGCTCCATCCAATTTTCAAATTCAAAATGTTCGTGATACGGATATTGTTCATGTAAGTTTCCAATTTAATTCCTATTCTCTTTTCGCAGATTTAGGATTTCAAATTTTCATTCTCTTCAAATTCTGGTTTCTTCTTGTTCTCTTTTTTTCCCTTTCAAATTTCACTTTTGTCCCATTTTTCTTCTCCTTCTTATGTTCTGCCATCTTCTTATATTCTCTTGTTTATCATTTTCTGTGTGTCCCGTTCTCACAGTTCTCCCATTGGTTTGTTCATTTCTTTGCCTCAACTTTTCTCCATATCTATTATAATAGTTCTCTTCTTTCATCTATTATTACCTATGACCGACCTACCCTGTTTATTTATTTTCTTATCTCTTTTAATCAATGTTAGTGATTGTGACTGTTTATATGCTACATTATATATTTGACTGTGTGTCCCTTTTTTTCATTATCTTTTTTCTCTATCTTCTTCCCTTGTCTTGCTCTCTAATCTGAGACTCCCTCCTCTCTGTCTCTGTTTAATTAGTTTTAATGTCTTTTTCTATTAATTACTATTTTTTCTCTGTAAAATACAGGTTAGATGGCTTATAGAAAACTATGAAACTGCTGAGGGTATTTCACTACCTCGATCTACACTTTACTCTCATTATCAAACCCATTGTTCACAACAAGGAATTGAGCCTGTAAATGCAGCTTCATTTGGTAAACTTATTCGATCGGTTTTTGTTGGTTTAAGGACTAGACGTTTAGGTACAAGAGGAAACTCAAAGTATCATTATTATGGTATCAGAGTTAAACCAGGATCTCCATTGGCGCGTATCACCGATAGTAGTTCAGTGAGCAGTCCAGATTCTGGTCAACCATCTGCTAAACGTCATAAAACAGTTCATTCTGATGGAGGTAACAGTAGTAGCGGGGGTGGTGGTGGAGGTAATGGTAATGGTGGTAGTGGTGGTGGAACAGAGTCAATCAAGGATAACAATGTTGTGACAACAAATGAAAATCACCAGGCAACCTTAACAGCAACATCCCCAGAATTGTTACAAAGTTACCTAGGAGATCCTAAGTCAATCTTAGCCAATGTTTGGCCGGAAGAGCCTGTTCCTTGTAATGATGCAGAAACACCAAGTGCTCTAGCAACCCGATTTGCTGCTGCTTATAGGAAACACTATGAACAAGTGATCAATGCGATTGGAAATTTAAACTTCACTCTTATCGAGGGATTATGGAAATCATTCTGGCAGGCTGATGGATCATCATCAAAGGGAGCAGGTAGTAACAGTGAAAATGAGAGCAACAATAGTACCACAATCAACACCAACAACAAGAACAATAAGACGCCTGGATTAACATTGGAACAATTACATCAGCTTACATCTAGTCCCGGTATCGAAGCTGAAAATGACCAAGAACCTCTTGCCTCTCTCAGCGAATGGATATTGCAAACAGACTATACACTGTACAATTCACTTATTTCAGCATTATTACTTCCCAATCTATTGAAACCTATTCCTCAACAATTGACCCAACAGATTCGCAACTTTGCCAAAAATATACACAATTGGATGGGCACAGCGCTTGTCGGTTATGATGGTTCATTTGTCACCTCGAAATTAGCCGCTGTCGGAGCTTTCAGCCATACTTTACGTCGATATACCTCATTGAATCATCTCTCCTCTGCAGCCCAAGCAGTTTTACAAAACCAACAACAAATACAACAAATGATCAGTGACCTGAACCGTGTTGACTTTAAAAATGTCCAAGAACAGGCATCGTGGGTCTGTCAATGTGATGATTCAATTGTTGACCAGATAGAACAAAGTTTTAAAATTCTTTTACAAGAACCAAACCCATTTGACCGATGGGGATTATGGTGCGAACAAGTTTTAGATACATGCCTTCGAGATAATGATGTTCGTTCTGCGACTCAATTCTTTTTTAAATGGGGATTTTACAGCTCCCTGGTTATGAGAGATCTTACTCTTCGTTCTGCCTCCTCATTTGGATCATTCCATTTGATTCGATTGCTTTTTGACGAATATATATTTTATTTGATCGAACACAGAGTTGCTCAAGCTACAGGTAAAACACCACTTCAAGTGTTGGGTGAAGTTCGGATGACAATGGTTAAATCAAAGGACAACAATACCACCAACACAACAACTTCAACCAACACTAATACTAATAATAGTAACAGTACCAACACAAATCAACACTCGAGTTGATTGATAAGCTGACACACTTTCCTCGTAAATTAAACACCGACAACAACAAAAAAACGATTTTTAGACCTTTTGTTTCCAAAGAGCACCAAAAATATATATTCAAAAAAAACTCTAAGCTAATAATCACAAAGCGAAAACACCAACACTTAAAATTTAAAATCCACTAAAATGTTGCATCATAAAGGAAAAATCATTTTATTTCGATGTAAATCGAGAACCAATTGTCTGTAAACCTTTAATATGTTAACTAAACAATTAATAAATTCATCTATTTCTTGCTTGTGCTATAATTTAAATGTTCTTATTGATTGGTTACCATTTTAATTGCGAACATGAGCAAAATGGAAGAATTTGTTTTCTCAATTAAAACCGTTTACTAGAATATGATATGAATCCGATGGAGAACAATTTTTAAAAAGAAAATTCAATAATCATTGGTTTTAATGTTTAATAACTGATGAGGTCTTAAGTGTTGAATGTGTGTGTTTGTGAGTTGATGAAAAGAAAAATATAAACTGGGATGAGGATGAGAAAAGGTTGAGAAGAGAAAAGGAGGGAAAATTGGGGGAAAAACAATTGAAAATTTAGAGAGAATGATAAATGGAAATGAATTTGTTTTCTCTTGAATCCATTTTTTTATTTGTCCTTTAATCTTTTTCGGCCTTTTCATCGTTATTAGCTGTGTGCCATGTTAAACGCTCTTCATAAAATTTGATCACAACTTGTGGACATCTAACGTTCGCTGTCGCTGCAGTGACGAGATCGGCATCTTCAGAATCCTTCCTGTTAAGGGTGAAAATAGAATAGAAAAGAGAAGAGAAGGAGAAGGAGAGAGAGAGAGAAAAAAGCGAAATTAGGCTTAATTAGATTGCAAGGATTAATGCTGAGGGTGACTCATAAGTCAACAATTTATTTAGCATGAGTAATTACTGGGATAAGTAGAGGAACAAAAAAAAGAAAGATATAATATAATATTTTTCTTTTTCGCAAACAAGAATGTGTGACATTAGTGCTCTATAAAAGGCAAGAATGATGGACAGAAACAGGTAAAGGGCCTAAGCCCACAGTAATTTGCCTAAGTAATATGCAAGGCATGAGACAACTAACCATTTAATTAAGAACATGAGCTCTCCTGAAGCATCAGTTGCACCAATGATCTTTTGAGGTTCAAGACCACGATCCCATCCTCGAGGTTTATCTTCATCAGCTTTTTTCTTTTTCTTATCACCATCAACTGAAGCTGATTTTCTTTTCTTATCATCCCCAGCAACAGATCCACCGGTTCCTCCTGAGCCTCCTTTTTTCTCATTCTTTTTTCTTTTCCTGTCTTCTTCAAATTCACTGATCAAATCAGGACAGTCAAGATTTTCCACCGGTTCCCACGTGTTATCACTTTCCGAGTAACCTTTCCATTTTAAGAAATATTCAACTCTTCCACCGCGCGTCCTTTTGTCCAATATTTTCTCCACAATATACTCCTCCTCTTCTTCTTCAGGAGCCGCGGTTTTTTTAGTTTCCTCTGTGTCACTCATATTGCTAGAAGATGTTACTGTTTTGATAGTAATGGTGATGGAATAATAATTAAAAAAAATTAAGACAAAAAGAAAAGGTAAGGAAAGGAAAGAGAGAGAGAGAAAGAGAGGGAGTGTGAAAGAGAGTCAAGAAACAAAAGAAGGTTGAGAAACTAACAAAATGGTCACAAGATAGAAAGTGAAATGATTGAGAGAGAGACAGATTATCAATTCAACGGTAAATTGGGATGTTAATCAAAAAGAGAGACACAAAATGGAGACAATTAAACAAATATCAATAGAATTACAATTAAGATTAATTCAACAAGCCAACAACCAGAATTTAAAATAAGAGACTCAATTAGAAAATATCTGATCTCAAGATATTCGAAACTAACGCCATCTCTTGTTGGAGAATGGAAACTTTCCTCGTTCTTTATGTAAACAAAGCGCCAATTTTATTCCCTTAATTGTTCCCACTAATCAGTGATAATCTGTTGCCAATTAAATGGCTGTTGATTGGAAAATCCATTGTTTTCGGTTAACTTTAACCATTACCCAAGTTTAAGGTGAATTTTGATGATGATCATTAAGACAACTGACTCGTTGAAATAACAACAGTTCATAATTAATCATTTTGATTTAGCTGATCAGTTTTTTTTTTCTGATAAAAGTTAATCAATTTTATTATTTGTTTTTTAGTTTATTTGGACAATTTAAAGTAGTGTAGTAAATTGTTTGTAGTAAGTTTGTTTTTTATTTCCACTTTAACTCTGATCGCTTTTCCTCAAGTCCATTAATCTTTTTTAATCTCATAGAGATAATTTTTTTTATTTACTCCAGTTTAGTTTTCATTTATTTTTCGTTTCTTGTTTCACTAATTATTTTTGTACAAATAAAAGCTCACAAGAAGATTAGATATTTTTTTCAATTATCTTCTCGAGAAAAACAAATTCCCGGTTTTTTTTTCAATCTCTCTTAAAGTTTCCCGGTTCAGAATTTAGATTCTCAATGATAAGAGAAAACATCGAGCGCCATCTGTTTACGAAAATCAAAACGAACCTTCAGTTTGTCTCTTTGTTTCATTTCGCGCTCTTTTTATTTCCGCTCAATGGAAATGACATTTTTTGGGTTCTAATTTTCATCGAATTTATTTTGAACAATCGATGACAATCCAATGCTTCCAACTGAATTTGAGTATTCGAAAATTAATAAACCTTCAACTTGGAGAGAGAAATGAAAAGAAAACTCAGTCGCAACAAGTTTCTCGAAACTGGAAGACAAAAAGATCGATATGTCGTCATCGACAATTCGGTGACGAAATCTATGGGTTTTCTCATCTATTTTTTTAGGATCAAATTCGAAGATAAAAGAACTTGCACATTCGAACATTAGAACTTTTTCTTTTGTTTATTTTCATTCTTCTGGTTTGCTTCATTTTCTCGTCTTTTTATCGATTGATCGGTTTTTTTGTTTTGATAAAACTTTTTGTTAGAAAAAAGTTTATGTGTATCAAGTATTCGTCTCGGAAATGATTAACCATTTAAAAGATTTGGATCATTTTAATTGTATAATTATGTTGTTCTAGATTATTACATGAGAGAGACTCCATTGTTTCCAAGTGGTTCATCTTTCCAATAATCTAAATCAACACTGGGAGATAATTGTGAACAAGGTAAACGAGGATTAAGATCTGAGGGTTGGATTAGTGCCATTGATTGACTTTGTTCAATATTATTATTGTCACAATGAATTCGAGCATAAGTTACATTCCTAATGGAAGTTAATTGATCTGATTGTTGAGAGAAAATTAAAAGAAAAAAAAATGAAAAGTTAAGCTCGAGGAATTTTAGTTTTACGATTAATATTATCGTTACTTACCCAAAGTGAACGATGAAGGTTGACCTGAATTCTCATACCAAAAGCGATCAGAAAATTTGAGTCTTCTAAATGTTTCGGTTATTATACAAGCCGCTGTGGGTCCAACATTCATTCCTGATGGACGAGGTTCCAAATTCAAGCCGACAACAAGATCAATATCATCAACGGAAGAGTATAAAGATTCAACAAGAGGTAAACTTTCAGCGAAAAAGTAATCGCTCAGATCGGTAAAATTAGCCGCTCTCTTAAAGCCACAAGTTTCCCTCCATTCATTATAACTCGCAAGTCCATGATCACGACCCCTTTGAATATCAATACTGAACAAATCAAATCCCCAAGGCTCATCTGATCCATGAGTTCCCGGAGGGAAAAGGTAATTGGTTATCGCTTCGGTGATAATATTATCCGCTGGACAGGTTGGTTGACTTAAAAGTCCATTGATTACCGATTGATAAACAGTCGGTTTCTCATAAAAAACCGATGGATTATAAAATTGAGTTTTCAGAGGGACAATTCGAGTAACACTTAAATTGTTGTCCTTTAATTCAATCTTTTCTGGGATCAATGTGTGTAATCTAAATGCTGCCGAAGCAAATTCCTGGATAATTGCTGGAGAAAGTGTAGCATCATAAAACTCATTGAAACCCGAACGACGAGGATAAAGGTCATACTTTTTCATTAGATTTGAACCTAATCAATTAGAAGCAAAACAATTAGCAGCTAATGAGGAAAAAAAACAGAGAAGTTATCGAAAAACTTACCAATAATTAAAGGTAAGAATTCATTGTAAGTAACATGCTGAAATTCAGCGATGACGATTCTTCTTGTCTCTTGGAAAATATCTTCATCGTTCCAATGAGGATTCAATTGAGCTAATTTACTGGCGATTCTATTGTGCTCTCTTAACCATGTTATATGAGTCGCCATTAATCCCGGTTGCTGATTAACTCGAGAATCACCTCCACCCAAACAATAAGTGTCGTTATTACACATATCCCCTTGTGGAGGTAAAATTTCACCAGCGGCTGAAACTCGAGAGTCCATTAAGCCTCCTTTGCCCGCTCTAAGTTTATCTGAAGCTTCAAATGATGCCCCGTAGATAATTGACCCATCGAGCCAAGGAGTTAAATTGTTAATCTGAGTTCGAGGACCAAGAACACAATTCTCAGGTAAACCAAATGCAGTTCGAGCAAAGTTCAAACACTCAACTGAATATTTAGAATAAAATGGATCATCAAGTGGAATCATTATTGGAAAACAAGATGGATGAAGAAATTCAGCTGATAGAATTTTATTTGTTTTCGAATCACAACAAGTAATTGCTCCTCCATCGGGAAGTGTAGTTCCAACTACCTGAGTTAAATCATGATCAAGGAATTGCCCATAAGCGAGAGCCATAGTATCCAAATTATGATGTTCCATTGGTTTATCTTTAATCAAAGTGGTTGACAAAAGACGAGCCCATGGTAGTTCATTACCTGAGGCACCAAACAGTTTAGGTGCATCAATGGCATCACCATATTGAGGTAAAATCACTCGGCTATAAGGGGTTAGAACTTTACCCCAATAAGGATTATCGATATTGTTACACGAACCATCAATAGGACGATATTTACTATAAGGATTACAAGTGATGTTAACGGTACATTTATCGGGCTCAATGATTTGAATTGATTTTAGAGTTGCAATTTGCTTTGGTTTGGTTAATCCAAGTCTGAGAATTTAATTGAAACAATTAACTAACATGAACCATTTGAGAACATGATAAGAATTAGAACTTACTTTTTCGCCATCGAAAGAGTTAATTGTTGGAGGTAAAGAGCATCGTCACTAATATTTGGTACAATTCCCAGATTTCGTTGGTAAACTTCCTCTCGACTTTGACCTTTAATTCCAGTATCTCGGGTTAATCGAGTTTTCTTGCGTTGTTGATGATGATTGGCTATCTTTTTAATATTCGAAACAATTTGTTCACTTTTTAATTTTGCTTCTTCGATAATTGAATCAAAATCTTTACGAGAAATTTTTCCACCCAAAAGCTTAGGTGATTTCAATAATTCCTCATGATCATCATCCATTGACGGTGAGATAGTCAACACTGATTTTGATCCAGAACTTTTCTCAACTACACGTAAACAAAAAACAATGGTGACAATTAACATCCAAGGCAATTAATTAGTATAATTAGTCAAATTCTTACCACAATTATCCAAAACAATTGGACAACATATTCCAATTTGACCTGAATTGAAACAAACATTTTCAATCAAATCTTTCTCATTATGAGCCGTTAATACAGTTTTACAATCTAAGAATGATGAACAATTAGTCCCTTTTGGACAATTAACCGTTGAATTTATTTTCTCCGCTAATAATTTAGCAATTGAACTCGACGAGATTGGAGTTACAACCAAGAAAACTAAATAGAGAGCAACAATTAAGGATAACAATAAGCCCGAAGGAGACATTTTAATAGCTTGGAAATTAGTGGAAAAAATTAAACCATTCAATCAAATGGGAAACATTAAGTTTACTGTGACAATTAGTTGATTATTATTGTTGCATTGAAAAGTTAATTGTCAATAAATTGGTTAAATTAGATTAATTTCATATATAAACTTGGAATCATTTTTTCCCACTTGATTTTTTCCTCCAGAATCATAGAAATGATTTAGTAAATCATTGTAATCGTTAATTATAATTAACCTTCTAATAACTATTGATATATTTGTATGATTACAACTAATTGTTACTAATTATTATAACTTTGATCAAAGTAATCAAATGTTATAACGAAATCAAAAGGTAAAAAAAATATCAACACGAAAACGTCAACAATTTAGTTACCAAGACAATTGTGATTAATAAGATCGTAAGCTAATTGTTATTGATTTAATAACTTTTCGTATCTGAATCAATCTTACAATTTATCAATAACAATTAGATAGTTTCATTTATTATCAAGTGAATATCCAAAAACAAAAATTTAGTTAGACAAAGTTAATTGTTGTTACCTGGGATTTTAATTGTTACTCTCGTCTAGAACTAGATTTGATTGAACAATCAGTTGATAAAAGTAATTACTTTAATAACAATTAAGGTTATCATAATTAGAGTAATCACATTTTATTGAGATGATGAAAAAATTATTTCGTCAATTTTTTAGGTAATTAATTAATTGTTCACCCAATTTCGTCGACAGTTGATCAACAACAATTAAAGCTCATCTTACAGATGAAACCAGAATTAACTTTGGATTAACAACCAAATACTGATCACAATTCAATCAATGCAATTAGTTTGATTAGTGGATTTATTTACCAAGAAATTGAATCAATCATTAATCATATTAAACTACGATTGATGAATGATTATAATCAACACCAATAAACTTAATCATCATAAATTGTTACTCTTAACTGCCCTTAAGGTGTTACATTCTCATCGGGGAAATTAAATATAATCAATTGGAGAAACTGAATCATTGACAATCAACCGAATCAATTTAAATTGATTGTTATCCATTAATAATGATTACTTTGATATATTAATAGTGAGCATCCATATGCATGAAATTGTCATGTTTCAATTATCACTCATCATTCATAATGATCATCAAGTAACTTTGATTGTTATCATAATAATATAAAGATTTCATGTCATTAGCATACAATTATGATAATCAACTTGATTCAGTTTCCAATATATTATAATAATGTAACTGATTAATAATAATTGAAGTGATTTATTTTTATTGTTTTGTAAAGATCAGACAAAAAAAATATGAACAAGATGATGAAAAACAAAATTAGATCAACTAAATTGCCATTTTATGTATAAATCATTAAGATGATTAAATCTAATCAAAGGAAATTAGTAAACAATTTATCTAAATTATTGATTCAATGAACAATAACCAGTTAATTAGCATGGAAATCCTTAAATCACCAAACTCATAATGGTTAATTACCAATGATTTTCAATCAACGAGATACAATGGACACAATTAACGATAACAATCAATATAAACACTCAATCATCATGTTTTAAAAAAAAGTTCAATATATTGACCAATTATCATGATGACCATTAAATATCATTCTGAAAAGGGTGTGGTCAGTTGAAGTATATGAAAAAGTTGGACAGATATGAATTTGGATCAAGAACTTTTGTTTTTTTTCAAAAATAAGAATCTTAATTAAAGTGATAATCATCAGGGATAAAAAAGTTCTGGGTGTGAATTATAAGGAATCAAGAAGTTATATTTAACTTGAAGACTTTGAATTTGAATTGTTTTGATAATTATGATTCAGCATAATGATAATGTTCACAGTTCTGTTGGTGAATATTTTTCGTTCATGGAAATCAGATTGTGAGAAGTTGAAATGAATTTGAAATTGGAACTTTTTTTTTTGTCAAAATAATTTTCTTATATTTTTCTTTATTAGAGTAACAACAAATTATTGTGCTTGTCAATTTATCAGGGGAATGTTATATTATCATCACCGTTAATAGACAATAATTCAATTTAATTAGAGATGATAATGGTTAATGATGCTGATGATAATCATGGTAATTGTATTAATAATAATAATCAACTTGGTAATTTGGTCTCACTTAAAGGTGGGAAGAGGAAATAGTTAATTAATTGTTGTTTTCAAGTTCGTGAATTTTTCATATATAATAAAGTGCTTTAAATAAGTGCTTTCTGTTTAGGAATGTTAATTAACAAGTTACAATTAAGATTTTCGATTGAGATTTTGATTCAATGTTCATGTACATTTATTAATACGGTTGTTTAATTGTTTAATTGTTGTTGTTATTGTTGTTTGTTGAGTGTTAATTGTATCTCTGTCCATAATCTGTTGGGTAAATATTAATACAAAGAGATGAACAATTAACTATTTGTTATTTTAATTGTTGGCCAATTGTTGTTTGCATTTTGATTTTAGGCAATTAGGGTGAGCCAGGTCAACCTGATTTAGGGAAGAGATGATTATAAGGATGATAAATGATGATGATGAAGATTAAGATGATGATCAGTTTCATGGTGATTATCATCATCTTAATGGAGAAGCAAAAAAAAGTTCTGACTATGAAAATGATCTGAATATGATCCTTGGTCCTTTTACTCATAAATTGTTTTTTCTTCCTTCGAGTTAATTTAATTCTCATAATCAATTGAGAGAAATAAAGTTGATTGGAATGGAAAAAGTTAATTACTATTAAAAAAAGTAAAACTTAATTAAGATCGGGAGTTAGATTGATGATAATAACTTGTATGTTGATGATGAGATCAATTTCCAATGATAATTGATTGTAACAGGCATAGTAGTTAATTGTGATGATCAGTGGTAAAATTTGCTCTTTTTTACAATTATAACAATTTGATCCGATTATTTTTTTTTTGTAATATAATATCAATTAGTTACAATTATCCATCTCAATTGGTTGATTGATTTAATTATAATACAATTGAAGGGTAGTTGATTTTTTTACGCTTTTTCTTTGGATGGATTGTCAATCTTATGTTAATTGTTTAGATTAACATTTATTCCCAATCATAATTTAGATGTTAAATCAGGATCTTCATCAGTTGCACCAGCATCTTGTTCAGCAATTTCTGATTCCATCATGGCTCTCACTTCATCTACTTTACCACCACCACTAATTGTGAATGAAGATATAGATGATTTAACTTGTGATTGATTTAATTGTGAACCTTGAGGTTGAATTATGGTTGAGGTGGGAATGGGAGTTGTCGCGGTGGGAAGAGGTGAACTTGTGACCGGCTCATGAGAAGGTCCAGTTCCTGGTCCGAAAAAGGTTGTTGTGGTTCCACTTCCGATTATGGAACTGTTTCCTTTGGTGGAAAGTGGTGTTAGTGGACTTGGTGATGGACTTCTAGGTCCACCACTGACTTTATTTAGAAAAGATGATTTCAATGACCTTGAACTTTTACCTTGACCAGAATCTTTACCTCTACTTAAGCCAATTCCTTTATCGCTTTGACTTTTCTTTACTCCACTTCCTTTACTCTCATCAGCTGATTTACCTTTACCTCCATTAATTGGAACAGGGGAGAGCATGAATTCTGGTTGATTGGCTGTTAACGGATTGGGTGAGGCCGAATTGCTTTGATAAGCAGAGGACAGGGAGGAGACTTTTTCACTTAATTCACTGGATTTAATCATGAACATGATGATGAGAGAAAAAGTGGAAAAAAAGTTGATAAATTATCAAGAATTTGATAGAGAAGAAAAAAAGTTCGAGCAATTTTTTTTTGATCGAACAAGAAAAAAGTTTTTTTTTTACTCTTTCGAACTGAATTAATTTTTAATCATAATCTGATTTATCATGTTCCCAGTATCATGATTATAAATGATATTAAGGATTTAAACTTCTGATAATACTTTCAAACTGAATTATTGACTAGAGTTAATTAAAGAGTTAATTAGTTAATTAAAGTACTTACGATAGATGATCATCAATTTTATTAACTCGTGAGGATAATTTTTGAATTTCCAGTTTAAGATCAACTCTCATATCGATAAGTGATGCAACAATTTGCTGATAGTCAACATTATTGATACTCTTCGGGTGAAGGACAATCTTGGTATCACCTCCTCCACCTCCACTACCAACACCTTTACCGCCCTCTGATAGGGTGTCATGAGCCCGATGCCACTTTTACTTGCTGCTACGGCGGCCGCTAAAAGTCCAAGTCCACCACCAGTTCCCGTGGCGGCCATTGTTGTTCCCGTAAGTGGACCCGTTGTTTCAGGTTCTCTTCCTTCTTCAATGGTTTCAGGTCGACCAGAAGAGGTTGGTATTCGAGGCCATTTATTACCCTGTGTAGGTGGACGTATATCTTTGACCACGTGAATATGTTCAGATTTCTTACAGACCAGTTCAGTTCGACGTCCACCCATATTGTTATCATCATACTCTTTATCCAGAGCACCAAGAGCAGTGTTAATTGAGTTATTATTATTAGTTGCAGCGTTCGCCAAAGCCGCTGCCCATCGGGAAGCCTTAGATGCAGCTGATGATCCTCTTGAATCGGGCATATTATCACCTATTGTCTTATTGCTAATCTCTGAATGAAGACTTCCTAACTCACGGCCACCAATACTACTGCCAATACCACCGACAGAACCACCGAAAATCGCACCGGTTGTACTTGCACTACCAGTTCCACCTCCAGTCTTTTCCGATAAACTTCCCACTCCACTTGGTGGAAAACCTTTCTCTGGATCATTTGAGCCCAAGGAGTTTGCAGTATTGGGAAGAGTAACTGGATTACTTGATGAAGGTCGGGAAAACATTGGAACTGAACTTGTATCGGAAGGTTTTCGAAATTTGGAAAATATTTTACGAACTAAATGATCTTGAGCAAGATCAGGTTGTGGGTCGTGTTTACGACGCTCGGCAAGCTCCATTTCACGTTTAACATCGGCCACTTTACGGAAAATCAACTAAAAAACATAGAGAAAAAAACGAAAACAATTAACTAATTAAATGCATTTGAAAAAAATCGTCATTTTCTAATAATCAAAACATCAATAACAATTTACTAAATCTTGAGACAATTTAAATCACTAAATTGGTATTGATATAAACAGAAATCATTTGAATCTAAGACAAAAATAATATGTAACCTGAAACCATTTTAATCAATAAAATTAATCAATACCATTGATTTTGGGTTAAAATTATTGATGGAAATCAAATCATTTGTTAGTAGTTAATGCACAATGATGATTATCATAGTGATTAGATTATGATAATCTCATCAATTAACCTTAAATATTACTAATCTGATTGTTAAGTACACTTTTTATCATTGATTAACTTGCTCAATAAAGACGAAAACAAATCCACTTATAAACTTGATTAAATTAACTAATTAACGGTTATTAGTATTGAAAATCTAATCTTAATCATATTGTACTTTCTGTACGATAGTTAATCGTCCATCTTTAAATGAGATTAAAGTTATCGAGTATCAAGATTAAGGTGAATGTCGAAGGTGATATAAGAGAGAGCGGGTGGATTTCTAAGTGGAGGATCTAATGAGAAAGAGTTTGAAGTGTATTTGACATAGAACTTATCTTCTTTGGCCTCGAAAAGGAAGACAGAGAGAGAGAGAGAGAGAGAGAAAAGTATAATATTTATCAAGTATTATTCTGTGGAGGGAAGTGGGAGTGGGAAGATAATCTTGTTGATCGATTAGAAGCGGAAAGATGATGAAAGGTAAATGAAGAGTTAAAGAAATGTAATGAACCTTAACTACACAAGAAGAAGCCAAAAGTGACCTGACAATTGTTTCTAATGACCTTAGGGATGGTCAACAGTTTTTATCTTCCCTCTGAGTGTAACATTATCCATATTACGAAATAATATCATCACCATAATAATGTCATCATTTTTATCATTCAAGTTTAATCTTATATACACATGATAATGGCAACAATATAATAATTGTAATGATAATCATGATAATAGGATAAAAGTGATAATCATTACAATTAACTTGATTATCGTAGGGTTTTTTATCTGTTTATATTATTATTTATCCTTGATTGGCAAAGATAAACAAATGTTTTTTGGTAAAAAAATTATCATGAGTATGATCGTTGTTTTGATTGCTAATGATGTTTTTTTGTTGATTAAAAGATGACTAATTAACTTTTTTATTTATTTATGATGATAGTCTACTTACCCGATGTCTTAAATTATATGTTAACATTAAATTGCGAGCAAATGAGTTTGCAAATGAATGATAAAAGTTGAGCACTTCGAGTAATTTGTCTCGTTTAATTGCGTGTAAATCACAATAAGTTAAAGCTCGGACATTGGCACAAGATTGACCAATTGTTGGCTCTTTCCAAAAAGCATCACCAAACACATCACCTTTACCCAATATGGCGACCACTTCATCATCTTGTATCACCTCAAGAGAGCCCGATACAACAAAACAAAGAGTATCAATTGATTCACCTGAATGGTAAAGTAAATCACCAGGAGCCGAGTGATCCATTGAAAAGTACATTGCCAATGCCCTAAGGCAACCATCAGAAGCTAATCTGAAAGCGGGATGTTCATTGAATACCTTTCGATTAAGGTGGACACAAATATCGGCTGTCATATCTTTAGGACAATAGCTTAATACCTTCTTGGTATCAATACCCTTTGACATGGCCCAAGTTGAGACAACATAATCCATTACCCTTTCACTTAGGGCTTTGGGCACTTCATGAAGTTTCATAAATTCCCGGACATTGTTCAGCATATCATGATAACGGGCAGTTGCTGAGGTCATTTGTTGTATAATTGTCGTTACATGACCAAAGATAGTTGCATAAAGTAAGGCTAAAAAAATATAAGAAAAATAGAGAAACAAAAACTTTTGTTTTTAATCAATTTCAACTTTTTGTTTTCTTTTAACATCATTGTGATAATAATAATCTCATGAACCATTGAACTCAAAATCATTTACATGATAATAATATGTTGAGATGCCTGAATAATGATGATGATGATGGTGATACCTTTCCAATGATGTTAATTCAATCAATTTGAATAAAACATTTACCAATAATCAATTGATAATCATCATGATGAAATCATTACGATGCTCAGAAACTAAGAGTATACAAATATATATATATCTGAGTAGACTGTGAATTAATATATTATCAGCTAAGGAAAGGAAAAGTTCAGCAAAAATTCAGTATTCAGGATGGTATAATAGAGGGAATGGTGAATAATAATAGTAGCATGTTAAATGGTATGAAGGTGATGATGATGATGATCGGAATGAAGATGATGAAAGTTATCATGATTCTTGTAAATGACTTTTCCATGTCACTGCCATTTATGTTCAATTTCAATCCATTCTTATTTGATAATCGATTAGCCCCCTGAGGCCTTTGAATATCATTTGGGTCTATTTAGGTGTGTGTATGTGTTTAGATATTATAAAGAAGGAGAGAGGAGGTTTTCATGAGTGTTTTGTGGATTAACAAGTGAAAATTATTATCAAGGTGAAGGTGGAAAATAATAAGATAATGATAAAAGCAACGAAGGTCTTATAATGGTTGAAATTCATGATGACAGGGTGGGAAAAGGATGAGGTAGAGGTGGGAATTGAATATATACATGGTGGAGAAATGTTTACTTTAACAGGGAAAATTATTCTTCTCATTTTCAATCTTCATTCCAATTTTCCAACCTCACGCTTTTATCATCATTCTGATTGATGAATTCATGATAAGTTGAGATACTTTATATTAGTCAATGAATCAATATTCCAATAGATTCAAGATTGAAGTCTTTTCCCCTTTTCATATTACATGAATTTCAATTGAACTTCAATTGACAACAAGAGAGAGAGAGAGAGAGAGGAAGAGGTTGATGAAAATGTGAAATGTTCTAACCATTTCCGTTGAAATCGATCATGACGATTTCTCTTTGAACGTGATACTCAATATGAATGGTTGATTAGCTGATTTTTTTTCATATTTATGTTGATAATATTTTTACGGGAAAATGATCTTACCTCCAATGATCATCATACAAATTGTGAAAACTTTTTCATTATCCGTTTCTGGGGCAACGTTACCAAATCCAACGCTTGTCATACAAGTCATGGTAAAATATAAGGCGGTAACATACATGGTGCCCCTTTGTGGGCCACCAGTAAGTTCAGGTCTCATGGTTATACTTGTGGTATCGGTCACAGTGAAATTAAATGGTTGCTAATTAGAAAAGGTTATTTGTAAAAATAAAGACGATGAGAATTGAGAGAAATAAACACTCAACAAGTTGAGAAAAGAATTGATTTTCTTTTTCAATATTTACCTTGGTGATATTTCCAAGTTTCCAAAGCCAACCATAGACATAACCATTTTCGGCATCCGATCGACCGATACTGTACCAAATACAGGCCAACCAGTGGGCAACCAACATATAAAAACACAGAAGTAAAATGAGCATCGCGGCTCCATACTCGAGGTAACGATCCAATTTACGGACAACCCGACCAAGACGAAGGAGTCGAACCACTTTAAGAGCACTGAAAAGACTTCCTATTCCTTGCTGTTAGTTACAAGGGGCAGAGAGAGAGGGACAAATATCCAAATTAGAACAAAAAAATCGAGGCAAAATCGATCATATCATTTACTTACTTCTTCAACATCATCAAAGGCATTGAAAATATCATAAGGTAGGCACGATAAAAGGTCAATTATGAACCAACTCTTGAGATAGTTCATACGGATTATTTTAGGATCTGAAACGACCTCACCTCCCGGTCCGACAAATGTTGTATGAAAATTGAGCACAATGTCAATAAAAAATATGACATCAACAATACTGTAAACAATTAACAAGAAAAGTTAATTACAATGTTAAAGAAAAATATATTTACCAAATCACCGAAAGAAAAAAAAGTTAAATCTTGTTACCGAAAAGTTTTTTTTTCTCCCGTTATATTTGTTATATACAATTCGATATTCTAATCAATTGATTCCTAATCTTAATTGGATTCACAATCATGACTTTCTAATTAGAACTAATTAAAGGAAAACCCTTTTAATTAAGTTTCTAGTTAATCTCATGAGAGTTTTAATTGTTTACATTGAAGAGAAGGATAAATGTCATGATTAATATTAACATTATTTTAATTCCAGATAAATTATTCAATATTCACAAATAATCAGATGATAATAAAAAGTAGTTAAGCTTTCACATTGATAATTTAATATTGTCAAGATGCAATTATCACTACAATTTAATATGATTAACTAATTAAATCATTAATGAACTTTGATTACATTGGTCAAAGTTAATCTTTTTGTTTGTTTTTATATTTCATCTTGAAAGTAATTAACTTGAAAACAACAACAATTAACAATCTAATAGAGATATTGATCATGTTCACTAATTAATTGTTACCTTAATCAACAGTTTAGTTTAATTATGATGATGATTGTCGTTCCTTGATTAACTTTAATAGATTGTTATTCCAGTTAGAAACGATTAGAGTAAATTGTCATGATGGAATCTAATTTTTTTCTGTTGTTCTTTTACACCCAATTCGTTTTCTTGATGATTAACAAGTGAAAAGTAAATTAAATTATCAATTGAATCAAGAATTAAATTAAATTACACATGAAATGTAACAACTTAATATGTTCATCATCATGATAATAATGTAATCAACTTCAATGAACAATATAATTATTCTGATGGAAAGTTTATCTTACTGTGAATTGTTATTTTTTATTCTTCTTCCAATTCGAAACATTTCAGAACTTTGGTTTTTTTTTTCTTATTCTCTTGAACTTCTTGTAAACTGATGGAGTGAAAAAGTTCTGAAATTCTGTTCTAACAGGGAGGCGATGTTTTCATGGAAATGAATGAAAACCTTGAAGGCAATTCTGAGAGAAGGATAATTTTGAGTCTTTCTCATGAAAACAGAGGAAAAGGTTTGACATGATGATGATGATTTACCCTGGGATGTAGATGAGAATTCATAAGATGAGATTCATGATGAGGAAATTATTTAGTTCAATTGTGATGAACAATGAATTTGAGATCTGATTCATGATGGTTGATAATCATGGGGTTGGGGTTTGAGCTTTTGATTTGTTTCAATTTCTGATTAACATTCAACATGAATAATCTGATAACCATGATGATTATGATTATTCAGAGGGAGATAAAAAGGATTCAAGATGGGAGCGAGGATTTTCATCTCTCTCTCTCTCTCTCTCATCCTCATTTCTAATTCAATTCTGATCTGAATGATAAACAAAATCTATCAATCATTTCAAAGATAAGTTAAAGTTTGAGATGAACCTTTGTTCCTCTTAATCATTAATTCATCGTCTTCCATCATGAGTTACATGATAATAGAATAAAAATTAGCAATCAGATTAAATCAATGAAATCGATAATTGGTTTACTTCACTAATCAAAATCTAAATTCACAATTTCATCCATACTTTTGAATGAAACCTTAAATCCCCATGAATTGTGAATCTTTCTAGTTCATCCTGAAAAAAAGTCCCACGATGATTATCGTTATCATGATAATCACCACCATGAATGTAAACTCATTTACAAGAAAAAGTATGTTAATTCAATGGGGATTGTGTAAGAGAAATTCCATCTAAAAGTTCATATGAAACTAATATCATGAAGTAAATGGAAATAAACTGAACTGAAAAACATGATAAGCACCAAGCGAAAGTGAATATACAATTTCCAGAGTAATAAAAGAAGAAAAAAAATTCCATTTTATCGAATGGACAATTTAGTGTTCTCATTGAATAATTTCATGAAGAGAGAGAGAGAGAGAGAGAGAGAGAGAGAGAGAGAGAGAGAGAGAGAGAGAGCAGTATAAATTTTCCTGAATTCTGAGTCAAAATCAGTTGTCGTTGATAAAAAAGCAATAATGATAATGATAGTGTTACATTCTGATTATGATGATGATTGTATCATGAAAAAGCCACTTAATCGTTTGAAACTGAATCTAGAACAGTTTCCTCTTCAATTTTGGGTGGAAAACTTTTTTCCATCATGAAAAAAATATTATACTCTCCTCATGCTTGGTGTTTATATATAAATTTTATGTAACTTTCAATGGCTACTGTTTAATACTAATAATAGTTTACCAACAGTTTCAATCAAAAGTAAATAAACAACAATGAACAAGTATATTAACCGTTGATTGTTACACTTACATCAAATTCAATGTTGATCATTATTATCATGAATTCTTACTCTTCAGAATATTTTCCCTCAATTTTTGCTTCGATTCAATAGAAAAAGCATCAAATGATGACTACGAATGATATTCACACCTTATTGTTACAGTTTTATCACCAATCTTATTATTCACCAATGACCATGATGATATTTTCTGTTTGGAATCTGAATTGGAATATTTTTCAGAACTTTTTCCCTCGCTACAATTCCTGGATCATTTAATCAGCCAGAGAGTTTCGAATATCTTTCAAGTTTGATTTCATCTCTCAGATATGATAATCATGGCGATTCTCAGCCTAAACATGATACTTGTCTTCTCAGTTTTTTGATTGGTTCGTCAGTTTAATTATCATTGATTGAATTTTAATTGTTTCCTCAACAAAGATACTTAAAAATAATCCAACAATTAACCTGATTTACTGACGAAATGAAAGAAGAAAATTTTTTGCCCAAACAGTTAATTAACTTAATTGTGATTAATTAATCACCTAGAAAATTGACCAATAGATTCAAGTATGAACTATGAAATGGAACAGCGAAAAAAAAACCTAGACCAACGATTTTCACTCCATGAGAGTGATATGAGCTTATTATTAGAACTTTAATCGATATCAACCGAAGAGAGAGAGAGAGAGATGAGGAACTCGACATTGTCCTAATTCTGTTGATAGATAATGATCCTGATTCCATCTCATCACCATGAACTGTTTCTATTTTTGGAAACTAGATCAAACCTTTCATCTGAACAAAAGATGATAGAAAGAGAGAGAACGAGAGAGAGAGAGAGAGAGACGGTAACGAAAAGATCTAGAACAAAGTTCGAAGTCTCGAAAAAGTTATATTTAGATATCGGTTCTAAAAATGAATCCCAATCATCGAGAGGAAATTGATTGGGAATCGCTTGGAGTGATAACTAGAATTGAATTAAAAATAAAACTATTCACTTAACGCTAATCAATGAATACAATTTAATGTCAACAATTAAAATCAATCACATTTATGTATAGATGAAAATTTTTCACCACCAATCAATTAGACTTGGTTGATTATAATCATTGATTGTTTCACTTATACATACATATAAATGGCTACTTGCTTTCTGATATTATAACAATTTATTAATACCTTCAGGCTAAATAACAGATAAATTATATAAACTAAACATTTAACCAAGATAATTAAATGATAGTTGAAGCTAAATCAGTTGGATATTTATATCATTTGATTGTTTATTTTAGTTTTGAATGAAACTTTTTTTTTCACCCTTCATGTTGATTTAGTAATTGCGATTTGTGATTATTTCCTATTAATTTGTTCATCTCATGATTGATTAGATTCACTTTCCTCAAGGTAAATCATCATGATTATTAACTGATTCAATTGATTTAACAAAAACTTTCTCTCCACAATTAGAGTTACTTTTTTTTCATTTAGAAAATCAATTTTTTCAACTCTTGTAGATTATGAAACGATCCCAACGGTTAATTGTTCAACTTAATGAAGTTCATTTTGTTTACATCAATTGTTTTCTGTTAATTAATTTGTGTTTTTTGTTTTCGAATTTAACCAAATTGTTTGTATTGGTTTTCTCGTTTTCTGCTAATTGTTTGTTGGATTTGTAATAATTAGCGATCGGCAAAAGGAAAATATAATTAACACTTTTCTCCTCTGATCTTCTGTTTCTCTTTCGACCATTTTTTGAATGTTTAATTTTTGTTTCTCTTTTGTTTCTATTTACTACTAATTGTCACTAATTAAAGTGAAAGAATATTAATCAACAATTAATTAGGTAAGTAGTTACATTATCCATGTTAAATTTGTATTCTATTTGTTTCCATTACCCTTTTGGTCTAAGAACAATTTGAATTGATTTTGTTTTTCTATTCTTTTATAGGAGAGGAAAAGGAAATTAACAGCCAACACCCTTTACAATGGTTCGGAGACTGTTGACTTATGATGATGTTCAGACGATTAATTGTAAAGTAGAGAAGTGACCAAATCAATGAGACAGTTTAACATGGTATTTAGGTGTGATCATTTGTAGAGAGACTTTTTTCTTTTCGGTTGGTGTGGAAAATGGTGAGATTAACATGGTATTTTAATCAACTTACCTGTCAAGGACAAGTAGGCTAACATCGTCCGATGTTTTATTCTTGAATGCAACATTAAATGGTACCATAATGGCAGTGTAAAAGGTCAAGCAAAGAATTATCCAATCCCAAATTGCTTTGAAAGCACAATAGTGAAGTAAAATGTGTGGAGGAGTTTTTGGTGCTTCTTGACGGTATTGGGGAAGAACATCCGAGTTTAAGGTCATCAACTGATGATCGTAATAATGAGAAAGTTTCCAAAGGTCATCAAGTGATAATCATTTTTGTAACATGTAAACAAAACATTTATAGACACGCAGAGAGAAAGAGTCAGAGACACATTTACAAGGCCAATTAGATGTCATTAAGATGGAGATTATCACCATTAAACCAGAAGAAAATCCCATAAGATGTAACAAGTTGAAAGTTAATTTGTTTTCGTTGGTTTAAGATGTAAAGACAGAGAGCCAGAAAAAGACAAGGAAAAGAAAGAAAGAAAAAGGTAAAATTACTTTCTAAATATAATTTAGTTCTTTTCTCATGTTCGCTTAACGATTTTACTCAATTTTCTATTCTTTTTTCTTTTAGCTTCTTTATAATGGAAGAGAATCATCTTTAAGTCTCATGTATCTTGGATTATTAGTCTATCTTTGTGGATAAAGAATCAACCTGTGGACGTGAAAATCTTGTTACAACTAATGAAACATTCAACAGTTACAGTATTCAGTGTAAGGAATTATTTGGATTCTTCTCTTCATCTTTAAACTAAATGCCGTTAATTATGTTTGGTGATTGTTTAATTATTGATTATTTACTTGTTTTCTTATTGACCTCAAATAACAGATTGTAAGTTGAGCAAAGAAATCAGAAATTTAATTGAGAATTGTTTCTCTCTCTCTCTCTCTTCATTAATTAATCAATTTTATTTTTTTTCTCGCTGGGATTCAAAGGTGAAAACGTCAAGATCAGATTTTTGTTTGACTTTGGAAAATATTAATATTTCATTAACTCTGTTCCGGTTTAATTGTAATCAAGGCTTAATATGATATTGAACTCAATTTCATGTCAGGAATATACAGAATATACTGAAGCTGCTGGAATAATTAATTATTCGACTTTTATTTTTTGTCATACTAAACACTAACTATCAATAACTTTACATATAATATGGAATCAGGTAAATTCAGTTAATAATTATGGTTTTTGATGACATGTATACACTTAATTAATTTGCTAACTAACTTGATTAGTTTTCTCTCTCTCTCTCTCTCTCTCTAGAATTGAAATCTATTTAATAGATACAAAATGACCCTTTTAAATATGTACTTTCGTGCTTGACCAACCATCTTTTAATTGATCAACCAACCAAACAATCAACACACACAAGAAATGGACCCAAACATTAAAAACATACACATAACCTACATTTTCGAAACAAGGAAAATGCTGAAGACATAAAGAGAGAGAGAGAGAGAGAGAGAGAGAGAGAGAGGATAACTCAAGGAATTGAATATCCATCCCTAGTTTAATCCTATGGAAAATTATAATCATCAACTAATTGTGTAATGTGTTAATTTAACCCTTATTGTTAGTAAATTGCCATTTATTATGGGTAATATTACAATAACTTGACTGTTGGTGTTAAATGCAGAGGGGTAAATGCTAAAAGGAAGAGGAAAAGGAGGAGAATCAGTGATTTGTTTTCTGTTTATGACGAGATTAATGAAACAAAACACAAAAGAATGTAAATCAATTATTATTCTGGGTTAAATTGTACATTTCCGCTGATTTTTTGGCATTGTTTCAAATGCGAAGGATATTTATATTAATACATATTTCATCATGATGACTTACAATCAACTTGAAAGAAAACAGATGAAGAAAAGCTCAAAAGAAAAGGATTTAGTCTATGGTGGAGTTCGTGGTGATGAAAAAAGAATATCGATATAATTTGATGATACTCACATGACCCAAGCTCGATTGTTTGGAAGGTTCAGCTTTAATAATTGGAATATGGGATGAAAATTGTTGCGCCAAAACAGATCGACTTCGAGTAACTGATCGTGCAAGCCTAGCAAATTTGCTAAGTCCTTTACTGGCATCATCTTCAATCGGCTGTTTTAGTGCGGTTATATCTCGAAATGTGAGCAAAAATAGTACCACAACGTCTTTCTCATTCTTAATTGGAGCAATGTGCAATAGAAGCCATAATGGTGTACCTGATTGGAATTAATTTGATGGATTTTATTTGGTTGACCAACGAGAAAAGTAATAATAACAATAATGACCAATTCAAGTTATACACACAAGAAGAAAAAAGGAAGAGAGAGAAAATTGTATCAAGTTAATCTGGTTAACACATTGATTGTGTCAAAAAAAGAAAGTGAAACTTGTTATCTTAATCATAATCATCATCTAAATACATTATGTTAGTTTGATGATGAGATAATTTCAACTACATTTAAAACCATAAACTGAAAATAAGTGGACTTATAACACGGAATGGTTAGTATATATATAATATAAATGAACTGTAAAGTCTTTACAAATAATTATATTTGATCAAATGGCCCCAGGCAAAGTTTTATCATGATTACAGGTTTCGAAATCGATTTACCTTTGGATGGAGGAAAAAAAATATCATACAACAAGTAAAGCCAATTACTATTATCATCATCATCGCTATTATCAATTGAGGTCACAGGTAGTGAGGACTTTGCAATATACACATAACGGATATTATACCTGAGTACGAATTGGTCTTGGAATTTTCTTTTACCTTTCTTTCTGGTGATTATATTTCATGATATTTCATAACTTTCTCTATCATCAACTCCAGATCAATTGGAGAGAGAGAGAGAAAAAAAATCAATTTTTTCAGGGATTTTTTAAAAGTCTCTCTCCTGTCAAAAGGTAAGTTTACTAACTAATACATTTATATCATGACAAGGGTTCTTGATTAGCTTCATTGTTGTTTGATCAACTTCAACATTCACTAAATTTCAAGAACTTTTTTTTCAGAAATATAAATGATTCCCATGTTTGAAGATTATTAATATTTACCAATGACTTTGTAGATTTGAAATTATCTCTAATGATGTTTTTTCTCTCATCAACCTCTAGGGTAGAGTTTATGTTGTTCTTTATTTTATTTTTTTTGATTCTATGGCATAATTATAATGATACAATTTTCTTGGAAATGGAAAGAAAAAGTTGTCCCCTCAAATATTTGGTTGAACTTACGATTTTTCTTATAAAGAAGTATCTCAAATTGTTCCATTGAATGATTGTCCAGTGCATTCTCAATCTTGGATATGGTCGCTTTATCTGTCATCTCACCGTACATGAAGGTACATCGGCAACTTTTCTGCATAACTTCAGCCCGATTGTAGCCTGAAATTTTGCAGAAAGTTTCAGAACAATAGACAATCGGATAATCGACGATCTGAGCATTTGCCAAAAGGAAACTGCAATCAGCTGTTGAAGAAAGATTGAGAAAAAGAATATGTTCAAATTATCATGTTATATAACAAAATTACCTTCGAGATAATTATTAGATTAGACGAGATTTAGAAAAAGAAACAAAAGAAAAAGAGAAGAATTAAATTATTTTTTTTCTCTTTACTCTTTGATTAAGATTTATTATTATTATTATATCTCTGTTTCTATGTACTTTTCTCACATAGAGATATTGATCTTTTCTCTGTTTCTTGTTTTATGCAAATTTATTGTTCACAATCAACGTTTTTTTATATAAATTGTCATGAGAAATGGGATAAGTATTATTTGTCACTTTCCATTGAGAAAGATGGAAAAAAAACTTCTCTTAATTTGATTTGAACTTTTTTTTTCTCTCTTCTACTTCTCTAGTTGATTCTATTATCATTTCTACATAAATTCTTGTATTTTTCTCTGTGAGTGTTGAATAAACATCCACAAAGAGAAAGCGAAAGAGAGTAGAAGAGAGAAATATACTAATCCATGTTATCTTTGGAAAAAGAAAATAATTATTCGATTATATTTATGATACGATTTGCTCTTTCTCTCTGTTTTTCTCTCTCAGGAAACAATGTTCAAAACTCTGATGACGATAAAGAGGAAGAGGAAAGAGATTGAATAATCAATTCGTAGTAAAAGTGGATAACCCTAAGAACAGTTCAGTGACTCTCATTTTTGGTCATCATCTCATTTTACTCCTTTATTTTCATTATATCGTCTCTCTGACAATCTAATCATAACCATCTCATCAGCATACATACTGATAATGTGAATGAGTAGGAGTTTCCAGTTATATAAAAACAATAATATCGTTAATTTGTCGTTGGAAAGACCCTTAACAAGTCAATGTTGACCAGTGAATTGGTCAGCAAATTAGAGTAACATTAATACTATTAATTAATTGGATACAATATATTATATGGTCAAGCCTTTTTAATACTTGGAAACACAATTGATGATAAAAATTTGATAATCGGCTTGACGATCAGTTTCATTTATCTTTGGTCACTATAAATGGTAAATGTTTTTTTTTGATGGACAAATGGACAATCATAACCAGCCTACTAATCAACTGATTCCTAACTCAGGATAATTTCATTGATCAGTGGAAAGTTGGTTTTTTTCCCTGGGAGTGAGTGGACATCCCAATTCTGCTATTACAAGTAAATCGGATTCCCTCCTTATGGAAGTTTATTTTTCCACTTTCGTTTCAAAGTCAATCTATTCTTCAAAAGATTCTTTCAACTGGAATAGCGAAAAAAAGATTATATTAATCCACAAAATCCACCGATTAATCGTAAATGATTAGTAAGTATATCAAATTCTTTTCTCAGAATTTTACATTTCCAGTTTGAAATTGAGCTCATATTCTCATGCACCATGCAAAAGAATTATAATATAATAGTTCGATGCTCTTTTTTTCCTTCTCTTTGAAAGATAAAATATTTATTAAGATTGATTCAAAATCATTCGCTATAAATACAACCAGAGAATAGAAAACTGTATTAATGGTGAATGTCCGTTCCGAGTTATATTTCCTCTTTCAGATCTCTATTTATCCTTTTTTGCCTCTCTATTTTATCATCATCTTTCTCCCTCATCATCTTTTACTACATCTCCCTAGAGACATCAGATACATGTATTATCCCTATGAGAAGAGGTTTTTCCCTTTTCTCCCTCTCTCCCTCTCTCGCGATATCATCGATTGAACCATCATCAACACAATCAATTGATTACACTTTTTCTTATTTTTTTATTCTTTTCATGAAGAACTCATTCTTTCCTTTCATTTCTCTCTCTCTCTCTCTCTCTCTCTCTCTCTCTCTCTCTCTCTCTCTCTCTCTCTCTTTCTCTTCTCTTTCTCTTTCTTTCTTTCTCTTTCTTTCTTTCTTTCTCTTTCTTTCTTTTTCTTCAACTTCTCATCATCATCTTCTGTCAACTTTTCAACGATGCATGATTGAGAAGTCAATAATGGAGGAGGCTCAATGAAATGTTTCAAACAAGTATCAGGGAGGAAAAAAATTAAGATATTTATGTAACCTTTGAATTACTCCCTGAATCTGATTCTCTCTCAGTTTCTCTCTGTCAATTGGTCATTTATTTGCTGTTTTTTTGGCAAAAAATCATCATAACATCAACAACCAGGAAGGAAAAATATATTCAAAGATGAGCTGATTGATTGAATAAAAACAAAGACGCTGATCGATGAGACCACCAGATTATATGTTTAGATAACCATAGAATTGGAGCAATAAAATGATCACCAATATAAAAAAAAGACTGAGGTATGAATAAGGATAAAAAAACTGATCGCTATGGTCAAGAATCAATCGGAGGAAAAAAAATGTTATTCTCATGAAAAAAGAGCCATCAAGACTTTTGACTATTCTTTTGGATTCTGATTGTTTCCAGTTGATGTTCCCAGTGGAGTATTATTATCATGAAAGTTAATATTATCGTTGATTATTGTCAATGAAGAAATAATAATAATAATGTTCTTCATGAGGAAATTTGAAAATGTAAAAATTGAACAATAACTTTGATCTGAAGCAGAAGAAGATTATGATGAAAGAGGAGGATAAGAGATCATCTTCTGGGAGAGGATGTTGATAATGATGATACTGGTACATTGGGCTGAAGAGTGATAGATATTTATTATATTCATAACGATGGAGAGATTTATGTTTGTTGTGTTGCAACTGGAAATCAAATCTGATGAATGATTTCACTTTTGTAGACAATTTTTCATGTTAACGAAAACGAAGTAACTATTTTATCATCATTTTACTTTTCCTTTTCTTTATTCAGTTTTTTTGCTTCAGAATGGATGGTCAAATGGTCAAGAATTCACATGAATCATGATGGAATATTGAAAATGAAAGATGAAACTCAGATTAACTCGTTGATCTTTTCATTTACTTTCTTTAAAGGATGAAAATGATGATGATCAACATCAAGATTCCCGACGATAATGATCTTCTATTAATACTTGGAGAATTGATATTTCTTGATTTGAATGAAACTGCAGATTCTTTTGGTTTCCTCGTCATCAAAAAATGGCGAAAATATTAATATCAGCATCGTTATCATCATTGTCATCTCTCTACAACCATGGATGAGGAAAAGTGTCTCAAGTTTTATCACCATGAGAATGATATATTGACAGAAATGGATTCAAATTTCACAAGACAAGAGGAAAAGAAAGAGAGAGAGAGAGAGAGAGAGATGAAGATGACAACAACGAAAATTGGAAGATAAAGATTACAAAGAGACTCTACTAAAAAAAGATGAGGAAGAGACAGGAAGATGTAACTGATTTCCCGTGAAGAGAATCTTCATCTTTTCATCTCTTTATTTTCACTCACTCGAAACTTGGAAAACATTTTGATGCAGATCTTTTAGAATGTCGAACTGATTTTATCTTGTTCGATCTCTAATTTTCTGTACTTGTCTTCTTCTATCGTTTTTCACTTTCTTTCGACTTTTATCATCATTGAGTATTCTTACCGTGTGGTGTAAAGATAATGATGATGATAAGAGAAAAGAATAAGAAGAAGAAGATGACAAAAGTGAAGAAAAAGCATGAGAGTAAAATATGGAAAAACGAAGAAAAAAAAATAGTCTGAACATGAACTTGGAACATCAACTGAATTCTAGATTAAAGGTGTTGTCTCCCTGGTCTTCCTTTGAAAAGCATTAACCCAATTCTGATGATGGGGTGAACATGAGTAACACTCATGGAGATAATAATAATGATGATGAAGATAATCACCATCATAATGAGAGAGTAAGAGAAGGTAAAAGTCTCTTTATCTTTCAAAATGAAAGGCAAGTTGTTGACCAAGCATGAGAATTATAATAATAACCATGATGGAATTGAAATACCAAGAATGCTCCTGATAACAATTAGATTCCAGATAATAATCAATGATGATGAACACAATTTAAGGATATGAAAGGTAAGATGAACAATTTTTACCTGTCAATTTAACCGGTTAAATAATATTCACTTGATGATGATTAGTATATTTAATCACCAACAATTTACTTGTCAATGTCTTTGGAATACAAACTTTCATATCTTATATTATTAAGTTTATATAAGATATTAAATAATTGATTCCAAGTTTGATATGAACCTTAAATGTTTACACAAAATTAATCATCATCAATAATTGATTAACTTTAATAGTTAAACAATTTATATAATCAACATGAGAAATGGTTAACGTACAGAACTACAATTGAATTAATATCCACGAATGACTAAAAGATATGTGAATGAATATCATGAAAATGAACAAATGAATTGGTGGTGAACTTTTTTTTAATTGTTTCTTTTTCATTCCTTCAACAGCAATAATAATCTTACTATTCTGATGTCGAGATACAGTTTGGATTGTGAATATTCATCGTCATGGTAAAGATTATCATCTATAAGTTTGACACTTGATGAAGATAATCAACAGGAATTAGTTGTAATCATTTTCGTTGATTGTTGGTGTTGATTGAAAGGAGAGACAAAAAAGTTTCTGTAACAATAATAAGACTGAAGAAAACAACAAAAACGATCAGAATGAGATGAGATTAAAGGATTTTCATCTCTCCATCTTTTTTACGAACATCATCTTCCTTGTCATCTCCATCATCTTCATCTTCATCTTCATCTTCATCATCTTCTCTTTATCTTTGAAATCGATATTGAACCATTTTCCTGTTCTCATGAAATCCATGTAAATTTTCAACTTGAACATGACATAAGAAGGAGATTCTATTCTGGAAAAAGTGATAACTTGTGTTAGAGAAGATGATTTTTCAACATCATCTCTCTGGAAACGGAAACCCAAGCAAGAGCATGATGATGATGTAAATTTTTATTTACATGTTACAAAAGGTAAACAAACAAATGACAATAAAGAAGACAGAAAAGGAATAAAGATAATCAGTGAAAAAAGTAAGATGATAAACAAAAGAAGAGAAAAAAATTTCCTCATCATTTTTATCATGGAAAATTTTCACTTAATCTTTGTTGAAACAATTTTCATGATAAATTCAAAGTTCAAGGCTCGTTGGAATGGATGAAAGTTGATTGGATGTCTACAATTGGGTGAGTTGTACAATCAACCCAAGAAAAACATGATAACCTGAAGTAAAAAAAAGGTAACCCTGTTAATTTGCCTGGTATATTATTTTGTGTTTACCTTGTATATTAATATTATTTACCTGTGTGTTCATGGTGTGTGTGTGTCTATTATTTGTTCAGAGGTTACCATGATGATAAAGGTGAAAATTGTAAGAAAATTTGAGTTAATGTTTCTTAAATAATCTATGGAAATTAATAATAATGATTATCAAATCTTAGAATCGATGGATTTTTTTTTACCTTTTCAGGTAAAAAAATTTCAAATTTATTTTCTCTTTCATCTTTTGTTCGTGGCTCAATTCAATTTTCATTCATTCTCATGTTTTTCTTTAAAAATTTTCTTCCTTTTCTCTTCTTCTTCCATGTGACCTAAATAATAAGGTTTACAATTGCCAAGGAATAATAATGATGATGAGAATAAACAATATCATATATATTATATTATTCAATGAATTGTATAAGAAGGAGGTGGAAAAGGAATCGCAACAAAGATTTTCGGTGAAATATTAGTTTCAATTCATTTGCTTTTATCATTTTCCATTCAATTTTATATAAGGAAATTTTCTCTCTCTGAATTTATTTTCCATCATCTTAATCAGGTAAATAACACACATGAAATTTTGCATGTTATCATCATGTGTATAGCATTGTGATGATGGGATGAGAGAGAGAGAGAGAGAGAGATGATGATGAGGAGGATGAGACAACGAGGGAGAGTATAAAATGTTAACAGGTCGATGGTGAAGAAAATGATGAGAATCGGAATTGGAATCAAAAGTTATCATGATGCTGATGTTTTCGTTTCTTGCTTCTTCTTACATTTATTATTATTATTATTATTATTCAACGATTGAAACAGATTCATGATTTTTCAGGGTACATGGTGAGGATTCGTATGATTATTGTGATGATATGTTTGTATTGTCATTCTGATAACAGTTAGTTACTCTGTTGGAATGTGAAAGAGTAAAGGAAAAGCTAAAAATATTGAAGAAACAAATTTGATAGAAGAAGAAAAAAATTCAACCAACCATTTCGCTCACAATTTCACTCAGAATTTTCGGTGTAATGATTTTATTATTATATTTATCATGAAAATTGAATGTTTATCATGAACAATTTATATTTACATTTTTCTCTTTACCTTTTTTTTCACTCAGGTAAAAAAAAAGCAGAAAGGATTACATTTGAATTGAATTTAAATGGTTACATTTACTGTATTTTCATGGATACACAATTAAACTAAATCAATTCAATTAATCAATGAGTGTTGATGCCTGGATTTCATGATATTAATTCAATCATGATAAGATTGAAACTGTCCCTCTACAATATGCAATAGATAACAGAATCACCATGAGTTTATCCAAAGATTCCGATTCTGTTTATAATTCAATAATGATTATCAGAGCAAGACTAACATCTCATCATGAAGGAAAATAGGAGAAAACTCTTGCTCCATGAAAAACATGATGATTTTTTATCAACTTTCTTCTTCTTTCATTCAATTTTCAATTCTTATCATCATGTTATCATCACACCTTCACACACATGTTACTACATGAAGCTTCATCAATTGATATCCATGAAGCTACTAGTAAAATTATCATGTACTGACAAAAAAAAATGATATCACCCTGAAAATGATGTTACATGGGATTTGATTTTGTTTCCACCTCTGATTATTACAAGATGAACTTTTCGTTTTATTATCTCAAAAACAATTGAATTTTGAAATGAATAACTATCGGTTCAACTGATTTCGTTTTTGTATCAGCTTTTTTGTTTTCTGTTCTGAATTGTTATCCTTTACCAATAGATATGATCATGAATTGTTTCACAGAATTCAGGTGAGGGTGATTTAATTTTGATTAACGATTAATGACATTGGTGATTAACGTTGATAATTTGATATTTGATGCGAGATTGTTGGTTTTCATGTGGATGGAGGATCATGATGATGATGATTCTAGTGTTTTTTCCAGAACAATTGTTATCTTGACCTGAGAATTGAATCTGATTCTGATTCTGGGTTAACTGTTTTTACCTGTGTGTGTGTGTGTGTGTGCTCGTGGATCAAGGTGTTGATTTCAATGTAAGAATATTAACCCTCCACTAGAAATAGAAAGAGATAAGTTACCATGAGATCTCATGGTAACTCGAGTTAGAATTGAAAGAAAATGAATTCTCTGGTAAATATCATGAAAAAGAAGATGATGATGATGATAATCACGAAGATGTGAGACCTAAACGTAAGTTCATCTTTTGTTAATTTTCTTTTCTCATCATCATCGTATCTTCATCTTTTCCACCTCCTCAGGGATATCAATATATACTCACTAGAAAAGAAAAAGATTCATTTGGTGAGATAAAGTTCTGAAGGAGAGAGAGAGAGAGAGAGAGAGAGAGAGATAATTTTCTTCAACAAAGTTATCCACCAATTGTGTCTTGTATCATGTAACCATATTTTCACTCATGATTATAAATCTCACAAGCAGTAAAATCACAGATAAATATAATATCTTGATGATGAACTTTTCTCCCCGTTCCCAACAATGAATCAATCTCCAATCAATAGGAAATTGTGTTCTCATGGTAACCATTTTAATCAACCTTAATCAACAATAACAAATAATCAACACAGTTAACCAGTTAAAAATATCACCACACAGCATTCATATTAATATACAACACCCACTCAACCACCACAAGGAACACACAATATTTGGGTCAATATTTATTTTGATTACCTGGTTGAAATAACAATAAACATTTACAAAACCTTAATCAAATACATAATTGTTATTACCAAATGTAAACAATTAACCCTGTAGATGAAAATTATATCAGAATTGAAATATGTATGATTTATCATAACGATAATAATCATATTCATACTTGGTAAACATGATAAATTTCAAGTTCTGATTCAGAATTTTTTTTCCTCCATGATAATATTTCAATCTAATCCTATCATGTTTTTTTCTTGACTGTTGATCATGATGATAATAAATTAAATTGAATTTGTTGAAGGTTTGTTTAAATTGTTGTTGTTGTTATTGTTGATGTTTTTGTTTTGTTTATCAATTATAATATAAATATTTCATCATGATACTCAGATGATCATGTTTACCATGATGATTATTATTCAAATTGTATTCATATTCATATGTATATACATTAGATTATAAAAGAACCTGGAAAAAATTTTTTTTTTCTTTACCTTGTTGATGAAAATTCATTATTCATTATCTATATTCAGAGCACACAGGATTCGGAAATGTTATTAAAATCAGCATAATGATGATTATTATCATGATGATGATGATTCCTGGTTACAAATTTTTGCTCGAAATAACAAAAGGAAATAGAAAACGTTTCCACTTAATCCTTTGTTTTCGAGTCTCGAATTTGATTCAATTCCAATTTCATGAGAAATTGAGTATATTTTTCATGTAAGAAATTTTCTCCACCTTATCATTTTAATTCATGTACATGATGATGAAATTTAAATAACATGAGGAAATAAGGAGAAGAAGAAGAAGAAAAAAAGTTCTAACACAAAATCAGTTACATGAGAATCATTGTTGATATTATTTAGAATTTTTCTTTTTTTTTCTCTTATTCAAAAACTTTTCTTTATTCATCATCATCAGAATTTATCATGAATTTGAGGAGGGAATTTCACCATTCTTATGCTCACTCTTTTCTCCCACTAACTATTCATTTATCATGAACCATTAAATTGTGTTATTATTAATTTTTTGTTCCAAAACAAAACTCATGGGAATCAATAAGAAATGCTAATGAGTAATGAGAGTGTGAGTCTGAGTAGGTGTTTGTATTAGCTGAGTTTTTTTTTTCATTGAATTTAAAACAATTCAAATGAACTGAATTAGTTTTTCTCATGCTAAATATAAACCATTTGTTTCATATGATCAGGTAATAATATTAGAAAGGTTAATCATCCATTAGCCTTTTAACATGATGGTCATGATTAATTTTTTCTGATTCACAGGAATTGAAATTCAAATAACAAAAACAAACCAATGTTCAATTTATAGCTCGATTCAGGATAAATAAAGAAGTATGATAATTACCTAAGGGTTATCATTGGTTATTCTGTTATTAAATGTTACATCTTGTACCTAAATCTGCCACTTTTAATCGTCTAGAATTTCAGAACTTTTTGAATATTTTCCCCCTTTCTATTATCGAATACTATAAGCAATTGTCTCTGTTTTTGACATTATTCTAGATTCGGTGATAGAGAGGTAGAGGGGAGAAAAGTTCTAATCTGGACTTTATAATATGCTACTGAAGTTTCATCTCCATCATGTTGTTTATCCTTTAAAATTATTGCTTTTCAATTCTCTCTCTCTCTCTCTGCTTTTATTTTCTTTCTCTTTCTCTTTCAGTCTGTCTGGTGTTTTCCTCTGAAATTTTTCAGTGAAAAATTTGGAACTGAATCTGAATCTTGATGAATAGACAGATAAGACACTTGACTCAGTAGGACATCGATATGATGATGTTAACATGTCATCTCTCCCATCGTCAAGAATTCAAACAAAGTATTTTGTCACCTTGGAATCGAAGTGGGGTGTCAAGTGGGTGGTGATAAGTTGAATGAGAGAGAAAGAGAGAAATTTCAATCTAAATTGATATGAATGCAAATAACTCGAAGAAAAAGATTCAGATTATATCAGTTTGGAATATTGTAAGAAGATGAAATAAGGATAATAAATGGTATTCTGTCATTGGAAAGAATTTGAATCTGACAGAGAATGAGAAGAAGAAGAAAAAAAAGTTCTGATTCCAAGTTATCATCAATAACATATTCAATTGTATTACAAATAATGATACACAAAGAGTAGATACAATGAGTATCCCAGGATATCAGCATGTTATCGATTGGAAAAACACACAACCCACCCCACCCCATACCCTCTAAAACGTAGCAATCTCTTCAATCTCAATACTTCCCACTGTCAGAATTATTTCATTCAGAATTGAATTCAGTTGATGATGTTATTACTATTATCGAACATGTTAACACTTGAAGAAATGAGATGTTTTCTCCCCACCTTCCAATCACCCACTTTCCCTTTTCATGCTGTATCTTTCACCCACCACCAACACCACCACCTCAACAATGAATCAATAATGATATCAACTTATTTTCCAACCATGGGATAACTTTGATAACAATAGACAATATGTATTATTATGTAATACTAAATATATTAGCATGTTCTGTAATCTCCCTCCTTCCACCTCAACCTCCTTCTTACTCTCTCACATTTATCTACTGAATCTCATGATAATGAACTTACATGATACAGTTTGAATGGAGTAAA